GGGGCGTGGGAGCAACGGGGGAAGAGGCGCGAGCACCTGCCGGAGCGGAAGAGGGCCAGCACAAGGATGGCCAGGGACCCCGTGAGACTAGGCCAGCTGGCCTCCTCCACTGCGGCGGACACCGCCTCCGGAAGGCGCTGCTCGATGCCGTAGGGGTCGTGGAACAGGTGCAGGCAGCGCAAGATGGCCGCCAGGAAGACCAGCGTGTGGATGACGAGGTAGTGCGAGCGCGGGAGCAGGTGCGTTGCGGCGGAGAGCCTGGCCATGCAGCAGAGGGAGGCGGCGGCGACGAGGGCGAAGATGCCAGCTGACACGTACACATGCACCCACCACGCGGCGCCCAGGGACCACCGCACGCCCGACATGGGGTACATCATGACGGTGCTCTTGCCGCTGGGGTCCCTCCCCTGCGTCCCCGTCGGCAGCACGACCTCCTCCTCCCTCGTGAGCACGAACGTGTCCTCCACCGTCTCCTCCAGCGAGCCGCCGTTGCCGAAGGCCGTGTCCTCGTGCAGCACGTACGAGACCGTCTCGCTGTCCCTGGCGGCGGCGTTGCCCGGCGCGGCGGTGGCGGCGGCCCGGGTACTCCCCTGCGTGGGCACGAACTCGATGCTCTCGTCCTCAGACTTCCGCCTCTCGGCCTCCACCCTGAAGGGGTTGCGGTAGCCCTTGGTGGTGGTGGGGGGCGCCGTGGTGGTCGTCGTGGTAGTATAGGTGGTGGTGGTGGGGGCTGCCGTGGTGGTGGTGGGGGCGGAGGAGGACATGGAGAGGATGCCGGAGGCGGTGGAGTTGGGGTCCTGCGTGGGGGCGCCGTACGCAACGCCCCTAAAGACGGCCGCGATCTCGCTCTCCCGCGTGGACGCGCTCCGCCGCGGCAGGAGAGGCCGGTCGCCGAGCTTCCCCAGGACACTGGTGGAGGTGAGCATGCTGGCCCGCGGCCTCAGGGGGGACAAGGCTGACGAGACCAGGCTGAACTGCCCGCTGACACCTGACACCAAGCAGCAGGACACTGTCAGCAGGGCCGCCCAGCAGAATCGTGAGCGTGTGTGTGGGAATGAAGACATCTTGAGTGGTAAAGGCGAGGGTGTCAACACACGCTAACGAGATACTTCAGCATTGGAGGTTGTGTGTGGACCTGGGGAAGAGAAAGACAAGCCATTAGCGCAAAGAACACACCGTAAATCCGAACGACACAATAGTAGACCCTAAACGAAAAAGATATTTTCGTTTTACACATTCGGTTTCCCTTTCAATACAGAATTCGACTTTCCAAACAGCTAAAACTCCAACAGCAGTATATATAAAAAGCTACAAATCACCCTTCTAGACTAATGTCTCTCAGCAAAAAGACATACACAGAGAGAGAGAAAGGTTGGCTTAAAAACGTGTTTACTCGAACACGGTTTTCAACGCATATGAACTACAACAAAAATGTATTTTCTTCAGGCGATGGGAAGAAGACCCGTTTGACCAGGGAAAAGTATTCAATTTCAGACCATAAGACCTAAACTCGAAAACACTTCCAGACCACAGGAATCTGCTCTCTGGTTTGCCTTTTCACTTTCAAAAATTTGAGAAGCGTACATTTACTTACATGCGTATTCGATAAATGAAGGTAAATTTATCACCATACACGTGTTCATTGGAAAGGAATATATCTACGTGAATTTTAAGAGATTTCTGAAATGCTAGCGCGCGTTTATAATAAATATACATGTATGTATGGCCATATACGTACACACACACGCAGTCATATACATGTGTATATTATATACGTATGTAATACACATTATATATATATATATATATATATATATATATATATATATATATATATATATATATATATATATATATACATACACACACACACAAATATCTTCGTACGTAAATGTATTGTCTGCGTGTACGTGTGATTTTACGTCGCAAAAAGTACACATGTACAGTCTAGAAAACTGGACCACAAAATTCGCTGTTCCAAAAACAAAACCTTTAGGCATTAACGAAACACAACACCGAAACGGTATCCGACGTCCTTTGACTTGGAATTCCGTGTTCGACTAACTCTGCAGGGAATGAACGCGTCGCTTTCAAATCCACAGTTAGTACACAAGACAACACGAAACTATACGAATGTTACAATAGTTCGCGTGGAGGCCTATACCAAGTTTAAGAAGTTCTTATAAGATTGAAAATGAAATTCTGTTTTTGGGAGTTGTTCTTTACAGGTTTAGAATTTATTTCCCTGGAAGGCGACATACGTCTCCATTTCCTTTCCTTTTTCCATAGTTAGCAAACAATATTTTCTCACAAATTAACACAAAATGCGTAAGCACTCTCCCTAAAACCACACACAAAGTACAGAAGACACCAACCTAATGTTGTTTTCAAAAAAAAAGTTCACAGTCTCATGTCCGCTAAAATCTCCAGCGTGTCACAGAAAAATTCCTTGTAAGAGATCAACTCGCGTTCCGAACTATAGCTCCTCTCGATCTCACAG